TGTGCGGCTGGGGAGGCCTAGGAAGGCCCAGAAACGCTTGAAACATCTCGATCCTCGTTCCCTCGACGCTTGTCCTCTCTCTCGAACCCAAAGACAACCAAACATCTGCCGATGAACCCCCCGGCGTCCATCCCGAAAAAGCCCCCAGCTTCGTAAGAGCGCGCCCGTACGGAACTCAATACTACAAGGGGGAACCGAGCTTCAAGCTACCCCCCCTTCCTTCGAAAGGGGGGGGAGCTTCCGAAGCTGCCCCCCCCTTCCCTTGTGCAAGGGTTTCTGAGCTAGGGGGGGCCCTTGCTAAAGGGGGGGGGGTTCGAAGCTATCCCCCCCCCTCCCTTTTTTTTTTTTTCCGGAGCAGAAGGTGAGCCCAGGTTTCCGTTTCAAAGGGGGGGGGCTTCGAAAGCTACCCCCCCTCCTTCCTTTTTGGTCTGGACACACAGGGGGCAGCTTCAAGCTACACCCCCCTCCTGTGCAAAGGGGGGGGGGGGCTTCCGAAGCTACCCCCCCTCCCTTCTGGGGCTCTGGTAAAATGGCGGAATCCTGGACGACAGGTGCGCACTGCAGCGCTAGAGAACGAATTGGAGAATAACGTAAACCCCTGGTTCGTTTTCTTGTGTTCTTGTTTTCTCGGCCCTTGGTTCGTAGTCTCGCTTTCTCGGGCCCTGATGCCTTTCCTGTCGCTTTCTCATTTCTCTGCCCCTTGTCCGTTTTCTTGTTTTCTCGTGTGTTCGGTTCCTGGGTCGCGGTCTCGTTTTCTCTGACCCTGGTTCGCGTTTTCGTTTTCTCGTTTTCGCGGCGCCCGGGTCGTGGTCAGTTTTTTCGGGTCCTGTTTCGTTTTCTCGTTTTCTCGGCCCCTGGGCGGTGGTCTCGTCGTTTCGGACGCTGGTTAATGTTATCGTGTTCTCGTTGTCTCGGCCCCCGGGTGGTGGTCTCGTTCTCTCTGCCCCTGCTTCGTTTTCTTCTTTCTTCGTTTTCTCGGCTCCTGGGTCGTGGTTTCGTTTTCTCGAACCAAGCGTTTTCTGGTGATCTCGGCCCCTGGGTCGTGGTTTCTCCGGACCCTGGTTCGTTTTCTCGTTTTCTCGGCCCCTGGGTCGTGGGTCGTTTTCGCGTTTTCTCTTTTTCTTGGCCCCTGGGTCGTGGTCGTGCTTTCTCGGACCCTGGTTCGTTTTCGCGTTTTCTGTGCCCTTGGGTCGTGGTCTCGTTTGCTCGGGCTTTGGTTTGTTTTCTCGTGTTCTCGGCTCCTGGGTCGTGGTCTCGTTTTCTCGGACCCTGGTTCGTTGTTTCGTTTTCTCGTTTTCTCGGCTTTTGTTTGTTTGTGTTTTTTTTTCGGGCCCTGGTTCGTGATCTCGTTTTCTTCATTTCTCGGCCCCTGGGTCGTGGTCCAGCTTTACCCGGACCCTTGTTAGTTTCCTCGTTTTGTCGTGTTCTCGGCCCCTGGGTCGTGGTCTCGTTTTCTCTGACCCTGGTTCGTTTTTTGTTTTCTCGGCCCCTGGATCGTGGTCCCGTTTCTCGGGCCCTGGTTCGGTTTCTCGTTTTCTCCGTTTCTTGGCCCCGGGATTGTGTTTCTGTTTTCTCTGACCCTGGTTTGTTTTTTTCATTTTCTCGTTTTCTCGGGTCGTGGTCTCGTTTTCTCGATTTCTCAGGCCCCGGTTCGTTTTCTCGTTGTCTCGGCCCCTGGGTCGTGGTCTCGATTTCTCGGGCCCCGTTTCGTTTACTCGTTTTCTCGGCTCCTGGGTTTTTGTCTCGTTTTCTCAGCCCCTGGTTCGTTGTCGTGTTTTCTCGTTTTCTCGGCCCCTGGGTCGTGGTCTCGTTTTCTCTGACCCTGATTCGTTGTCTTGCTTGCTTGTTTGATCGTCCCCGAGGTCGTGGTCTTGTTTTCTTGGGCCCTGTTTTGTTTTCTCGTTGTCTCGTTTTCTCGGCCCCTGGGTCGTGGTTTCGTTTTCTCGGACCCTGGTTTGCTTTATCGTTTTCGCATTCTCTCTGCCCCTTGGTCGTGTTTTCTCGTTTTCTCGGACCCCTTTTCGTTTTCGCGTTCTCTTGTTTTCTCGGCTCCTTGGTCGTGGTCTCGTTTTCTCGGGCACTGATTAGTTTTCTCGTTTTCTCTTGCCCCTGGGTCGTGGTCCAGTTTTACTCGGACCCGTGTTAGTTTTCTCGTTTTCTCGTTTTCTCGGCCATTCGGTCGTGGTCTCGTTTTCTCGGACCCTGGTTCGTTTGTTGTTTTCTCGACCCCTGGATCGTGGTCCCGTTTTCTCGGGCCCTGGTTCGGTTTCTCGTTTTCTCCGTTTCTCGGCCCCGGGATTGTGGTTATGTTTTCTCTGACTTTTGTTTGTTTTCTCGTTTTCTCGTTTTCTCAGGTCGTGGTCTCGTTTTCTCGATGTCTCAGGCCCCAGTTCGTTGTCTCGTTTTCGCGTTGTCTCGGCCCCTGGGTCGTGGTCTCGATTTCTCGGGCCCCGTTTCGTTATCTCGTTTTCTCGGCTCCTGGGTGTTTGTCTCTTTTTCTCGGCCCCTGGTTCGTTGTCGTGTGTTCTCGTTTTCTCGGCCCCTGGGTCGTGGTCTCGTTTTCTCTGACCCTGATTCGTTGTCTTGTTTGCTTGTTTGATCGTCCCCTAGGTCGGTGTCTTGTTTTCTTGGGCCCTGGTTCGTTTTCTCGTTGTCTCGTTTTCTCGGCCCCTGGGTCGTGGTTTCGTTTTCTCAGATCCTGGTTTGCTTTATCGTTTTCGCATTCTCTCTGCCCCTTGGTCGTGTTTTCTCGTTTTCTCTGACCACGTTTCGTTTTCGCGTTTTCTTGTTTTCTCGGTTCCTGGGTCGTGGTCTCGTTTTCTCGGGCTTTGGTTAGTTTTCTCGTTTTTTCTTGCCCCTGGGTCGTGGTTTGGTTTTCTCGGGCCACGATTTGTTTTGTTATTCTCTCGTTTTCTCTGCCCCTGGGTCGTGATCTCTTTTTTTTTCTGACCCTGGTTCGTTTTCTCTTTTTCTCGGCCCTTGGGTTGTGTTCTCGCTTTCTCGGGCCCTGGTTTGTTGTTGCGTTTTCTCGTTTTCTCGGCGCCTGGGTCGTGGTCCAGTTTTCTCGGACCCTGCATAGTTTTCTCGCTTTCTTGTTTACTCGGCCCCTGGGTCGTGGTTTCGTTTTTTCGGACCCTGTTTCGTTTTCGCGTTGCCTCTTTTCCTCGGCCCCTGGTTTGTAATCTCGTTTTCTGGGGCCCTGATTCCTTTTATCGTTTTCTCGTTTTCTCGGCCCCCGGGTCGTGGTCTCGTTTTCTAGGACCGATATTCGCGTTTTCTCGGCCTGGGTCGTGGTCTCGTTTGCTCGGACCTTGGTTTGTTTTATCGTTTTCTCGTGTTCTCGGCCCCTGGGTCGTTATCGTGTTTTCTCGGACCCTGGTTCATTGTCTCGTTTTCTCGTTTTCTTGACGTCTGGGTTTTTGTTTCGTTTTCTCGGGCCATGGTTCGTCTTCTCGTTTTTTTTGTTTTCTCGGCCCTTAGGTTGTGTTCTCGCTTTCTCGGGCCCTGGTTCGTTTTCTCGTTGTCTCGTTTTCTCGGCCCCTGGGTCGTGGTTTCGTTTTCTCTGGCACTGGTTTGTTTTCTCGTTGTCTCGTTTTGTAGGCCCCTGGGTCGTGGTCTCGTTTTATCGGGCCCTGCGTCGTGCGTTGTCCGTCGCCGTTTTCGAATGACCTCGTCCTCGTCGTGACGACCACGACGAGGTCATGCGAAGACGGCAACAGTGACGGCGACGGCGGCGACAACGACGACGAGGACGACGACGGCGTCGTACGAAGACGTCGAGCGACGGCGACGGCAACGACGGCGGCGACGGGGGAGGATCGTCCTGCAGTGGGAGTTCAATGGAGGGGGGTGGTAGCTTCCAGCAGGGGGAGTTCAAAGGGGAGGGGGTAGCTAAGCCTCCCCCCCTTTGGACAGGGGGGGAGGGGGGGGGGCAGCTTCCGGAGCGGCAAGATCCAGCAGGGGGGATCCAAGGGAGGGGGGGGTGCTAAGCCCCCCCTCCCCTTTGCAAAGAGGGGGGGCTGAGGTTCTGAAGCGGCAAAAGGGAGGGAGGGGGGGGCGTAGCTTCCAGGTGGGGACCAAAAAGGGTGGGAGGGGGGGTAGCTTCCAGCAGGGGGGGCCAAGGGGGGGGTAGCTAAGGGGGGACCCCCCCTTTTGCGAGTTCCGCGCGCGCGCGCTCTCTCCCAGCTTCCGACGTGTTGCTTTTTCAATGCGGCCTCCCCAGAAGTACAGACCCCTTTTCAAAGGGCTGACTTCTCTTCCCGAGTCGTTGTCTGGGCGACGAACCGTGTGAGGGGTGTGCCGAAATTAGCGTCGGGCGCATGCGGACCCTACCACTGGGCCCTTCGGTGGAGCTCCTTTTGGGCTACGAGCCGCGTGAACGGGGTGCCGAAGTGGTTGACATGCGGAGGGCAGAGGCAGGAATGGGTGGAAGGGGAGGAGGAAGGAGGGGTGCGGAACCCGGGGCGCTCGCTGTCTCTTCAGAACGAAGACCCAACACCACAGGATGGTTGGGAATGAGTCACGAAAGTCTGCGCTGAGTGGTTCAATACTCTAGGCCTCCCCGCTGGGGTCCGAGTAAATTGGGTCGGAGGGTCGCGCCGCATCGCCGGTGCATCGCCGATGCGTCGGCGATGCATCGCGCCCCATCTGCTCGGACCTCGTCGAGGAGTCCTTCAGATACCCTGGGCACCCGCGGAGGCCCGAAGACGATCGCGCGTCGCGCGCCGCGTCGTGGCCAGATATCGCCATAGCGGATGCCCGTCTTCAAGGGGAGGGCGCGAGGGCGCGGGGGCGCGAAGATAGTCGTGCGTCGCGCATCGCGGGGCGCGGTGCGCGAAGTTGGCTCGATGTCGTCGACGTTCGTCGGCGTCGTCGTCATCGCCGTCGTCGTCGTCGACGGCCTGCCGATGTCTCCTGCCCTGGCCGAGTCGTTCCCGCGCCGGCCGCCGGCGAAAGCGCGCGGAGCTGCCCCGGCGTCCCGTCAACGGCGGGCTCGGCAGGCGTCCGGCTTCCACGACGAGGTGCAGATGCTCAGCAAGTTTAGGTGGGCCTGGCGAACAGAGCTCCTCCTCCACCTCCTCCTCCTTCTCCCCTTCCTAGTCCTCCTCCTCCTTCTCCTTCGCGCTCGCGCTCGCGCCTCCGCAGCTGTCCTGGTCTCCCCGCGTGGGAGCAGCCGTGGATGGACCTCATGTGGGCCCACCGGGCCAGGCTTTGAGGCCTGGCGGTGGCTTACCTTGGGTAAGCTTCTGGAGAGCCTTGGTGCCCCCTTCTGTTGGTGGCGCACAGGGCTCTCTGAATTTCTTGGCCGCACGGATGGTCCAGGCTCCGCATCGGGAGCACCAAATGACACCATTCAACTTCTTGATGAACGGCCCGTGGGACGGGTGAAAATGGTTTTGCGGTCCTGGGAAGACACAGGGGGTCTTAAGCCACCTGGGAGTTCCCTTGATAACACTACCTTGCTTGCCACAGACATGGCAGGCGATCTGGAAAAGGGGAGGGACAGGGACGGAGAGGAGGGAGTGGGGCGTCCTAGTCAGCTCAACCTGCAAGGCTGCTACGCTACGCTCCACCTTCACTTTCCTACGGTTCTCCTTGACATCCTCATCCTCCTCGAGGCCCAGTGGGTCTTTGTGGCTCCAGTAGTGGTTCTGAACCGCTGCCAATCTATCCCTGATGAGATCGGCGTGAGTATCAGTACCTTGAAGGTGCCGAACGAGGGGCCCTGGGACTTGACGCCACTGAGCTGCTTCCGCAGCGAGTATGTCGGCGTGGGCATTGAGGTGTAGGGCCCAGGGAGGCTCTCGAGCGGCTTCTTCTTCAGTGGGGTGGCTTTTCACTTTGTAGAAGATCGTACTGTCCCGTCGATTTTTGGCCTGGGTCCAGAACTTCTGCCAAGTGAACTGGTTCTTGGGGTGCCGAAAGCGTGGGCCTCTGTTGAGGCCCTTGATCACATACGCACAGTCAATCACGATAATGAGGCGGCCGCGGGTGGACTCCAGTAGAGCAATGACTGCCTCGAGCTCCGCCAGCGGCACGGTCTGCGGGCCGATGATGCCTCCCTGGATGGTTCCTTTCCAGGTGAGGTCGTGTGCCCACAAGGATACGCTCCAGCCACAGACTCTGATGCGCGGGTCCTGCGTGTGAGGCCCTCCACTGCCGTCTGTCGCTGCCACCTGCCAGTCATCGAACTGATAGACTGCATGCTGTTCAAATACTCCTTTTCGGACCGTGTCATGATCTAGTCCCAGAATGTGCCCATGGACTTGACGTAGGATCGTGGCGGGGATGATTCCTCGGAGCCAGAGACTGGGTTCCATTGGGGACTCGGCCACTGCCCGATCTATGGAGCCCTGGGTCCGATTGATGGCGGGGATGTTGAGACTTCCCAATTCAGGACACGTCCAAAATTTGTGTAAATCATCTCCGTGCTCTTGCCCGCAGAGAGGACATTCGGCATCGTCCTGCTGGCCGCTCTCAAACCTGCGGTGGGCGCTCCAGCACCTCGAGCAGGAAACAGCCTCTAAAGCTGCTGGGAAAGTTGCTTCTCGCTGGAGTTCCTCATGGGCCGGAGCTTGTTGGGCTTGGGGGAGGGGGTACTCGGCTAGCTGCTTCTCTCGCTTTTTGATGGCGGCTCGCTTTCTGGCAGGGTAGAGCCGTAGGGAGTACACGTCCCCCCCTCCTGAAGGCCGCCAGAGTTGTGGCTGAGGGGGTATGTCGCTTTCCAGACATGCATGTTCAAGAGGAACTCCAAGTGAAACATGAAAACCTTCTGCTTGTCCCAGCTCAGCGTCTTGACGGGGAAGTCTAGGCCCTCGGGGTCTCTCCAGAGCCATGCCGAGGTTGGGGTCCAGCCTAGGTCGTACAGGGTGGCGATGATCGCGGACAGGTGGGACCTGACCATGAGCCACCTTGATGGTCTCTTGAGCTTCTCCCTCAGAGTCTCCCAAGCCTTCTGGATGCCTCCGAGGATGCTGAGTTCGGCATTGTTAACCCGAAACCACATCGTGAACAGCTGGACCCGAAGATAGATCCCTGAATCCATGTTAGATGGGTGTCCTGGACGGGTGTGGAGGCCTGTGGTGAGGCAGGCCCCTGCTTTAGATACTCCATGTGCCGCTCCCGCCAATCGGCGGAAATACTGGACTTCGGTCGGTGCTGATCCGTGTCCCTCTATGCCCCACTTCAGCTGCGGTAGGGCGCCTGTGCGGATAAGGGATCGCGCCTTGGTTGTAGTCTTGGCCAGCTTCGTGATGTTCCTGTGTCTTTGCACTCCGAGACGACGACGGGTTCGGCGGACTCCCAGGACCCTTTTCTTCCCGATCGTGGTGTCGACCCCCAGGTCCCGAGCATGCTGGACGGGTCGGATCTGGACCCCTGCTTGATTGAGTTTATTGACGACCGTGGTGCGGATGTCGTTGGGGCTGGCCAGGACCACAGACTTACCAGAGAGACGGCATCCTAGGTCAGCGAGTCCCCCACATAACTGTATGATGAGTTTTGGGAAGGCTTCTTTCAGGGCCTCTGGGCTCCCCACAAGACGGACCCTGGTGTCGTCAACCCAGGTTCGGATCGTGGGCCTTGGGATCTGGTGATGGGCCAACTCGAGGACGTCGTACAGGAGGGCCCTGGTCCAGGAAACGCTTTGTCCGCACCCTTGGAGAATTGAGGCCATCGGGATGAGGGGCTCGCTGACTCCGATCGGTGTCGTGAGGACTCTAGTACACGTGTGGATAATCATGCCCAGCGCCAGTGGGACCACTGGGTAGCCTAGGGCGAGGGCCTTCTCAGCCAGCTTGCGCTGGCGGATCGTGTCGAAAAAACTTTTCGAGGTCTAAAGCGCCCTCGATGATGGAGCACTTGAGAGAGCTGCTGATCTCTGCAAAAAGCTCGCTGATGAGGGCTGCCCTTAAACAATCACTGCCTTTGATAGCTGCGTCCCAGAAACCTGCCCGTGCCTCTTCCCAGGAGGAGACCTGGCCCTTGAATAGGCGCATGGTGACACGGTATGGGGCGTTCGTCAGGGTGATGGGGCGGTCGCTGACCTCTGTCTTGGGTTTCAGGGCCACCAGGTTGATTAGGCACTGGGCTGGAAACTGCTGCAGCCTACACGTATCATTGATAATGTCAGTGAGGATCTCCAATCCTTCAGGGGGAAGCCGACGGAAATCTGCTACTCGCCACTGGTCCGCTCCTGGTGCAGAGTTGCTCGAGAAACTCCTAAGGGCCTTCTGAACTTGTTCTGGCTTCCAACTGTGAGAGGGGTCCCAAGAGTCCAGTGCTTGCTGGCGTAGGTCTTGGAGCCAAGGGGCCTCGAGGGGCTTGTCAGGGAGGATCTTATCTGGGTCCCAGTACTGCAACCAATACTCGCTTTTTGTGGTTCAGGACCTTCAGGGGGTCTGTGATAATCTCCCCGTCGACCGAGCTGAAAACGTCATTGTCCTCTTCTGGAGCGGGCCCAGGGACCTTTGTGATATGGTGTGCGCCGCCTCCCCCGTGGGCGAGGGAGTCGTGTAGCCAGGTCTTGAACGCAGCCTCCTTCTGCGTCAAAGTTTCCTTATCAAAGTGCTGAACGATCAGCTCGAGTTGAGATCGTGCATCTGGCCACGAGGTCGTAGCACTTGTGCCTGCGAGGTATGACTGCACCAGAGTCTGTGAAGCTGGCAGAAGGTCTGGTGGCCACACTGGGTTCGCCTGGAGGGTGGAGGTGAGGTACCCCTGGATCCTCGGGAGCTCTCTGGAGGCCGGATGGTGTTGGAGAAGATGGTCTCGTTCTTGGGCCCGCTGCTGGACCACCCCCCACTGATGACTTTCATGATGAAGCCGATGCTGGAAGGGAGTGGGGGGGAGGATGTCTCTCCAGATGACCTCGAAACCGTCCCCGCGACTGTAACCTTCTTGGGTGCCTGCAGGGGTCCCGATACAGCAACCCTCGAGGGCCCGACTGAGGAGGCCGCACTGGTGGGTGAGGGTGTTGTTGGCGAACTCTTCTGCGATAGGGAACTGCACCTGCGGCGTCTCGTGCTGGTCTAGCTGCGCCTGGTGCCAATAATGTGCCCACGGACTGGCTGGGGTTGCTGATGATTTGACAGATGTAGCTTGCCTAGGGAACCATCCCTGGCGATGGAGTGCCTCCGCTCGGAAAACTGCTCTGAGTCCGATGTGTGGCTTCCATGGGCTGGTTAAATCGGTCTCGACAGACAAGTAGTCTGAGATCGAACTGTGGAAGATGAAGTAGTCGATGAGACGACCATTGCGACACGAGGTCTCGATGTTCGCGGTTTTCTCCTCCTTATCCTCCTCCTATTGCTCCTCCTCCTCCTCCTCATCATCATCATCATCATCATCATCATCATCATCATCCTTCTCCTTCTCCTCCTTCTCCTCCTCCTCTTTCTCCTCCTCCTCCTCCCCTTCCTCCTCCTCCCCCTCCTCCCCCTCCTCCTCCTCCTCCTCCTCCTCCTCCTCCCCTCCCCCTTCCCCCTCCCCCTCCCCTTCCCCTTCCTCCCTCCTTCATCCTCCTCGCGCGGAGGGCTCCGCTCGGCTCCGCTCGCAGTGGCCCAGAGCAGAGCTGAGCACTGTTGCCGATCCTGTCCACACCCATCCAGAGCTTAGGATCGGTGCGCATGCCCCCAAACCAGGAGGGCGTCTGCACCGATGCTGCGCTGAGGATGAGCCTGACCACGATTGGAGTGTATGTGCGCAGTTCTCTTTCTCCTGGCGGGGATCGAAGGCAAAGCCCCCGGCGACGTGTCAAAGCATTTCGGCATCTGGGGGGCCCTCATTGGGTCCCACGGCCGTCAACGAGTCACTCGGGATGGGAATCCGGTCCCGGGGAAGGGACAATTCGTCAAACATCGCGGAAATAGCGACCTGCAACACAGCGAAACAACAATCGCGAGCAAGGAGCAGAAACACATCGAACAAGAAAGCATGCAAGAACAATCACAGCATCGAGCAAGGCGCACACCGCAAAAGACAAGCGTCCAACGTAAACTCACGGAACATCGCGAAAAAACAAAACGTGCAACGTCGCGAACAATCACGCCCGGAGCCTTGACCTCCGCTTTTCTGCTGCGTTGTTCGGTCCAGATCGATATTTGCTGGCCCCTTGGCCTGGAACCGGGCGAAAGCTCCCAGGACACGAGAAAGTCGCAACGCCCAGATCTCAGGGACCTCCTTCCTCCTCTTCCTCCTCCTCCTCCTCCTCCTCCTCACTCCTCTCTCCTCACTCCTCCTCCTCCTCCTCCTCCTCCTCCTCCTCCTCCTCCTCCTCACTCCTCACTCCTGCTCCTCCTCCTCCTCCTCTTCCTCCTCCTCCTTCATCCTCATGAGAGTCCAGCGGGGGTCCACGTCGTGAAACAAAAAGACGACGTCGGAGTTCTGGGTCGGTAGGGCGGCGAGCACTCTTGCAGTAAGAGAAGGAAGGGGAAGAAGAGAGCTGAGAGGAGGAGGAGGAGGAGGAGGAGGAGGAGGAAAGAGGAGGAGGAGAAGGAGGAGGAGGAGCAGGAAAGCGGAGGAGGAGGAGGATTCTAGCAGCGAGTTCTACAAGAGCGGTTCAACCGCGAGCTTGCCCTGAGCGACCCCGACCGAGAGTTGACGCCAATGATTGACAGCGTTGGGCAATTCGAACCAGAGCATGAGTCAGGGCACCCCAGGGGGGCCTGGGGCCCGACAGAGAAGGACGCCGCGACCTGCACCGACCAGCACGAGAGATCAGTCCGAGCAGCCAGCGCTGGCGTCGCCCGCTATCTACCGCACGCTGCGCAGAGGGGGAGGGGTGGGCGGCTTCGCCTCGGCGAGAGCAGCTGTTTCATTGGGGAGGGGGCTTCGCGAGTTTCTTTCGAAGCGCGCGCCCGCAATGGCCCCCCCTCACGTTTCAACCCTCGTCCCGGCCGCCCTGAGAGACAAAGACGAAGACATGGGAGGCGGCGCCCGATCTGCCTGATGCTACACAAGGCCTACCTACGGTCGAATCCAGTATCTCGTGTGGACAAGTCTGGGGTTTCCGAGGGACCGAGTGCACGGCACCGCGGTTCTTCCAAGGGTAGTAGACGCCGTCAGTGCCTGTCTTGACACGCCCTGCTGGCGAAAAACCCGAGGCAGAGGGGCGAGCGGAGCCTCGTCCTCCTCGACCGGGCGGCGTGTGCACTCTCGGCGCGGAACGTTCCTTCTAAAACAGTGCTCTATCTTAGTCGAAATCTCGAAATCGTTTTGATAAAATTGCAGGACGAGGAGGCGGGGGAGAAGGAGGCGGAGGACGAGGAGGAGGTGGGGGGGAGGATGCAGGAGGAGGAGGAGGAGGAAGATGAGGAGGAGGAGGAGGAGAAGGAGGACGCAGTGAGAGGGGAAAAAGGGAGACGAGGGGGAAGAAGGAGAGAAAGACCATGAGGAATGGGTCCAGCGGGAGTCCACGGCGTGATGTTGTGTGTATGTGTGTATCTTTATATATATATACACACATATATCATTTGAAAAGCGTCGCGGTTTTGTTGGGTTGATGGGGCGGCGAGTACGCCCTGTTTTTCGAAAGGCGCGCACGATAGCGAAGAGCGCGAGGAGCACAGGGTGGCCTTCCGAGAGGGCGCGGGGCTTCCCGGAAGGCGGGGCAGGGCCCTCTCAGGGAGGGCCCCGGGGAGGCTTCCAGAGGACTGCGCTTCGGAAGCTGGGAGGGCAGTCCTTCAGAGGAGGAAAGGTACCCATTCCTCTACCCCTCGGCCGGTTTCCCGTTTTTGGGCCTCGTGGGAGGCCCTCGTCGCCACCGCTGGATTCGCATCGGAATCTTGGTCAGAACGCACCCCCGGAGGGGTCCCGGGGGTAGCGGTATCGGTATTTTTTGGTTTCCCCAGTCCTGGCCCAGGCGTGCTCGCCTTGCAGGAGGGATCAGGGCGGACGCGCTCTTCGCGGCTTTCGGCCTCGAGGGGTCCCTCACCAGGCTCCGGGGCCGCCAGACTTGTGGCTCAGGATGGATCCGGTGGAATCTGGTCGAGACCTCCTCGGGGCTTCAGGGACAGGGGTCGAAGCAAGCGGGGGTCAGTCAGAGCACCCGATCTCGCAGGATCCTGCAGAGCCAGGGATGCATTGACCCCAGCTTGGGTGTATGATCTTGCAAGATCCCGCAGGATTTTGCAGGATCTTGCGGAGCCTTGACCCGGGTCACTAGATCCCCGGGCTTTGGGGGCCCACGTCATGATTAAAATCATGACGTCGGGGATTTGAGGTCAGGAGGGCCTGCAGGTTTTGAGGAATGTCTGTCGGGATCTGGGGGGGCTTGCAGGAAGCCGCCCTCGTTCCTACAGGAGTGCGTCCTCCCCCTGCTCCTCTTTTCCTCCTCTTTTCTCCTTCCCCTCGTTCCTTCCCGTCTCTCCTCCCCCTTTCCTCCCCCAATCAGATCAATCATCCCCCTCCTGCTTCCTTTCCCCCCTCGGTTCGTCGCCGCGCTGGCGGTCGTGGTCGTCGTCGTTGTCGTCTTGGTCGTCGTCATGGTCGTCGTCAGTTTAGTTCTCGCCGCCGCCGTCGTAGTGGTCGTCGCCCTGTTTGTCGTCGCTGCTGTCGTCGTGGTCGTTGTCGCTGTCACTGTTGTCGTGGTCGGCGTCGTCTCCGTCGTCGTCGTTGTCGTCATTCTCTTGGTCGTAAGCTGACGTCGTCGTCGTCCTCAAGTCGTCGTCGTCGTCGTTCTTGTTGTTGTCGTCGTCGTCGTTTCCATCTTTGGCGTGGTCGTCGTCGTCGCCTTGATTGTGCTTGTTACTGTGGCCGTCGTCACGACCCTGGCCGGGGGCGGGCCGGGCAGGCACCCCAACTTGGTGACCCTGCTCGGCTGGGCGAAGGACGAGGACGCCCGATACCTGGTGTACGAGTTCCTTCTTGCACAGGGAGGAGGAGGAAAAGGAGGAGGCGGATGAGGAGGAGGACGACGACAACGACGAGGAGGAGGGGGAGCGGGTGGGAGAGGAGGAAGGGGAGGCGGGAGTGTAGTGGACGGGGGGTGTGGTGGTCGCATGGAGACACGAGGCTTCGGAAAGCAAGAGCCCGGACGCGAGCGGGGATGGAGGTGCAGGCGCAGAGAGACAATGCACCAGCACGTCCTTAGAATCCCATGGCGCGTCGAGACGCAACGGAGGCTCCAGAGCAAGCGAAGCAGTGAGAGCTTTGACTGGCAACCTGGGCCCTCCACTTCTTGGCCCTCGGCTGTCTACGACAGGTTTCGCACCGTGTTGACGCGGCGACGACCATCCTGGCCCGTAGATCGAAACCGCGTACGCCGGATCACCGTCGCCCCCTGCCTTTCAGAAACGCCCACGCGGCCAAACGATGGGCCGAAGCCTGGCCAAGCTACAGTCGACCCGCATAGTAAGGATGGGTAATGTCCTAAGGGTACCCTTGCATCCTTGCCTCCTCGGTCCATCCTTGGCTACTTTCACTGGCGACGCCCCGCTCGAAAAGCTACGAAATTGCCTTCTAAGGCCCTTGCATACTGATCGTGCATTCTTATGATACGGGTCGACTGTATTGGACTATGTGTTCCCCCAGCCGTTGTGGAACATTTGGCCAACCAGAGGGCCGACTCCAAGCGTGACGGCCTGAGGGAGAATTGCGCCATCCTCAGAAGACCACCGAGATCTGGCCGAGGACGACCTCCGCAACCCTCAGCAAGAGCCACCAGTCAATGAAGGCCGCCTCAGGCCACTTCGAATCGGAGGGAGGAGAAGCGTCACCAACACCAATGGGGGCCACCTCCAGCGAGGAGGTCCACGATGCCTCCCCGAACTGGAGGCGGGGGATGTCTCGAGCGAGAGGGGGGGACCACACCACCAGTGAGACCCCACCTTGCTCCTCGCATCTCCTTGCCATGGTGGTGTTGGTGCCGCCTTTCCGTGCTCCTACTCGAAGGAGCAGAGCAGCACAGAAGGCGGAAGATCAGCCCGAAAGGCTCGAACTCGCCGAGCTCACCGTGCAGAGAGCAGCTCCCAGACGACGAAGCAAGGAGCCGGCGTCATCCTGCATGCTACCACCGCCCTCCCTGGGCGCGATCGGATGGTTGTGCAAATGACTCTAAGCAGACCACGCCGCGCGCTCACGTGTCAGCCTCTCGACGAAAGGGCGAACGGATGTCGAAGACGCCCGCAGCTCCCAAACGCGCATCGGGCTGGCGACCCATGCGGCGTATGCAGCCTCCGCTTCGTGCAGAACAGGACCGCATGCCGAAGGCGAACTCCGCGCATTGCCTCTGACCCAAGATCCCTCGGCACGACATCCAACATCATGCATTCTACGTGGCTCTTGAAGATGAGCACCATCAGCACACATACCAGCCGTCGTGCCTCCTCAAGGGCGTGAAACGTGAAAATGCAGCGGTGCCGGAGAAGTAGCCGTAACCGCTTCCGCCGAAACGACAGCAGCCATCACATCCCGCCCCGCCATCAGGAGGCGAAGAGGAGCCCGAGCGGCCGAGCGCCGAGGAACTCGAAGGTCCCCGTAAGCGACACGGCGACCTGGAGGCGCCTCGGCAGCGGGAGCCACGGCCGATGCGCCACGCCCTGCACCCGTATCGGCAGCAGCCATTCCGTTGCGGAGCATCGAGTGGAACACCACGGCTCCACGAGTGCACGGGATGCCGAGGGCGTTCGGGGACACAGTGCATCCAGACCTTGACCTGACAGAAAGCAGATCATCAGGAAGGGCACCGCTTGCCAGTGGTACACCATGATGCCCACGCCCAGGATGGACGACACCACGCCCAGGAACCGCTCCAAACCGCGGGCCATGCTGAGCAGCGCGAAGATCTCTGGCAGACGCAGTGGCCACCTGCACGCCGTCAGCGCGGGAGTACCATGCCAAAGTCCTTCGAAGGGAGTCCACACCCGATGCATAATCCTCCGGCAAGGGGGCCACTGTCACAAGCATCGGGAGCATCGCCAGTACCCGATCTGCGACGATGCCGTCCACGCCCAGGAGATAGGCCACGGACGCGTTATTCTGGAAGAGCAATGTCTGCAGGTCGAAGGAGCAGCGGCTGCCCGCTCAGACCTGGGCCGCCATTTGCGCCAAGAAGGCCCATCCCGCGCCATCGTCTGGACCGAGCAAGCTCGAACCACACTGGCTTGAGCCAAAATAGCTACGGAGCCGTTATGAGCTCCCTTGGGGGAACATTGGGGAGAGGAAGACAAATGAGGAGGAAGAGCAGGCGAAGGAGGACGAGGAGGAGAAGGAGGACGAGGATGCCTCTTGAAGCCCTGTTCGGGCCTCCCATCGGCGCCATGAGAGCCTCTTGGGCGCTTCTGCGGGGCTTCTTGGGGGCCTCTTGGACCCTTTTGGCTGCTTCCTGGGGCCCCGTGTGGGCCTCTTGGGAGACTCTGGGGGCCTTTGCGCGACTTCTTGGCCTTCGGAGGCCGTCTCGGGGTGGGTCCCTCTTTGGGCGCTTCAGGGCCATCTTGGAGGTCTACGGGGCCGTCTTGGGGACCTCTTGGGCCGTCTTGGGGCCGCCGTCTCGCGGGTCTCTTTGGGGCCTCTTGGGTTGCCTTGGGGCGATCTTGGGGGCTTATGGGGCCGCCGTGGAGCGGCGGAAGCCCTAAAAGTTGAGAGTGGCAAGTCGTTGTGAAAAAGACTTGTGGAAAACTGATGATATTGGCCTCCTGAGTCTCCTGGAGCCCTCTTAGGTCGTCTTGGAGGCCTATTGGGCCGTCTGGAGGACATATTGGAGCGTCTTGGGGCCGTGTTGGCCGTCTTGGAGGCGTCTTGGGACCGTCTTGGAGGCCATCTTGGACCATCTTAGCCGTCTTGGAAACATCTTGAAAGTCACCTTTGCAGTCTTGGAGGCGATTTGGGCAACGGCAGATCTCTCGGCCAGGGCTCTCCAGGTGGCTGGCGAGTCGGGCTGGAGACCGCTGAGGTTTTGTTTGAATAAAGCCTTAGAACATTGAAACAACTGGCACGCCAGGCACCCTTTCGAATCAATCAAGAGGAGGAGGCGAGTCGAAGACGCTTACGGCGAATTACCGCTGTCCTCTCCCCTTTGGAAACGCCCATGCGGCAAAACGTTGGGCCGAAGTCTGATCAGACTATTGGACTATGTGGTCACCCAGCCGTTGTGGAACCCCTTAGGAGACTTCGTGGAAGAGGGCGAGTAAGGATAAGATTGGACACTTCATGTGTCAGGCTGAGACAAGCCAGCGAAAGGAGCGGGAGTGGACCCCCGACCCCTCCTGCCACGCTCGGGACAGCGAGCGCGTGGCAGGGCTTACGGGGCCATGTTGGAGCGTCGGACGCCCGAAAAGGCGAGAACGCAACAATCACCGAACAACCTAAGGAACATGTTCACCAGCGTGGACCCCCAAACAGCGAGATGCTGCACAGTGGATGTGTAAGCTATTCGCCGTGATCTTTACGGTGAGTGTGAGTATGTATATATGTATAGATGCGTGTGTCTATACCTACATCTCTCTCTATATATATGTATTTAAATACATATATATATATACACACACACATCGCTGGGGAGCAGGCCCTGGGCCCGAAAACATGTGCCTCGACCCTCCGGGGTCCCAGACTGCTTCCAAGACCCCCTCGTCACGGCCTTGGCCGGCCCCTGAACGGGCGACCAGGACCCGAAGAGGGTGCAAGGAGGCTCAAGAGGGCCCAAGAGCCGTCGGACGATGCATTTAAAACGACCAAGACGGCTCAAGAGGCCTTGGATACCCTCAGACAGAGCCTCAAGACCGTTCCTCAGAGGGCTCCAACAGGCAGACACACATTGATTTCGGTGTGTTTTTCCCCGCATCCAAAGTGGGGTTCTTGTTTTCTCTGCACACGCAGCGCAGGATCTCACACCCCCCCTTTCCTCTCTTTCTCTCTCTCTCTCTCTCTCTCCTCTCTCTCACACACACACTCACCATCATCACCATCATCATCACCATCAACCACCATCATCGTCATCACACGCACACACTCATCATCATTACCATCCTCACCACCTTCAACCACCATCACCGTCATCACTACTCATCATCATCATCATCATCATCAGCATCGTCACCATCATCACCACTCTATCACCCACTCACTCACTCAATTACTCACTCATCCTCAGTAGGCTTCGGAGGCAGTGGTCCTCCGACGGTAGGACCGCCGCCTCTCTCAACATCATCGTCACCATCACCATCATCATTTCTCGATCACCCACTCACTGGTCATCATCATCACCAGCATCATCATCACTCACTCATCACTCATTCATCATCAGCACTCACTGACTCATCACTTCGTCATCAATCACTCCCTAGATTGAATGTGGAGGAAGTATCAGGCGGGAGCCTCGTCGGTGAGTGAATTGCGAGGAAGTCTCAGGCGGCAGCCCCCTCCCTATGGGGCCCGCATTTCATGTTGGTAATCCGAGCGGGTCATCCGAAACGTGTAAATGTCGTCACTTTTGGGTTCCTGAGGCCTGAATATGGAGAAGTATCAGGCGGGAACCTCGTCTGTGAGTGCATTTCGAGGAAGTCTCAGGCGGGAGCCCCCTCCTAATGGGGCCCGCACTTCGCGTTGGTAATCCGAGCGGGTCATCCTGAAACTTGTAGCTGTCGTCACTTTTGGGCTCCTGAGGCCTGAATATGGAGGAAGTATCAGGCGGGAGCTTCGTCTGTGAGTGCATTGCGAGGAAGTCTCAGGTGGCAGCCCCCCCCCCCCCCCTTATGGGGCCCGCACTTCATGTTGGTAATCCGAGCGGGTCATCCGAAACGTGTAATTGTCATCAGTCTTGCGCTCCTGAGGTTTGATTACGGAGGAAGTATCTGGCGGAAGCCTCGTCTGTGAGTGAATTGCGAGGAAGTCTCAGGCGGGAGCCCCCTCCTTATGGGGCCC